CTCATCTCAGTCTGTCGTTACGCCACGGACACAAACAGGATCCAAACTTTTGTTGCAGATAATGAAGCAGCAACTTAAGAATTCTCTCATCACGCTTTACGTCTGTCGGCTGAGGAGGAGAAGGGAACAGTGTCGGAGAAGGGAGGAAGAAGACAAACTCAGTCAATGGTTGCTCTACCTCAGCCCACTCCCACATTTTTTTACGTTTTCTGCCGTCCACTCTTTTCATTATTAGTATGTATATACTTGTATGTTCTTCCTGTGCAAAAAAATAGTTTCTGTTTGAGACCAGTGATTGCTCTGGGTCACCATCTTGCAGTGTGTCATTGAGTCAGAAGGGCGACCCACTGAGCATGCGCTGAATGACCAGAATTAGTTTTAAGAAGAATAAACATTTACATGATCGAGGGATAAATTAATTTGGCTTTAAAATTGTAATAAATCACACACATACTTCTGAATTAAGTTTAATTCATCATTCTCATTAGGAATGAAATGTTTACATGGTCTTTTTAAAAGAAGAATTAATTTTTATTCAGAATTTAATAAGTTTAATTTGCAATTAAAGCTCTCATGTCAACATGGCAAATGTCTGAAGTGTCTGAGCTCTAAAACAAAGGCCAGTCCTGGTTAGTATTTGGATGGGAGACCTCTGAGAATAGCAGGTGCCACAGTGGAGCAGCAGCTCTGACTAGTGGAAACTGTCACTGTGTCCTTAGGCAAGACACTTCATCCATCTCACCTTGCATGAATGTGGTTTGTGAGTGTTGGTGGTAGTCAGAATGGCAGATGGTGTAAAATGGCAGCCTCACTTGCGTCAGTCTGCCCCAGGGCACCTATGGCTACCACCACAATCACTTTGAGAACCTTCAACAGATGAAATGTAGTAAAACTCATCTGTTCAAGTCATGGACAGAATAAAAAAGTTGACTCAGTGAGTGACGTCACCCATAGTGCTCAGCACCACTCAAATGAAGCTCTATGATGTGCACGGTTTCAGGGGCGAATTTGGAGCCAGGCTCTATATTATAAATAGGATTTTTTTGACGAACAAAACTGTGAAAAACAAACAAACATGTAGAGTGGGTTAATATATTTTAAGATCAAGATGACAAGGCTCACAACAGCAGTTACAGAGAGAGGGGAGACAATATTCTAATGTATGTATCTGAATGTGAACCCAAGATGTTGTCATATAGTTTTCAGTGGTCTGTGTTCATTGGTGCATGGGCCCAAAAACAAATTTTTCCTCTGCATTTGCTTCCTCAATGTAGCTAACTCCACCCACCCGTGTGACGTCTGTAACATGCACGGCGTGGAGCGTTTGGACCAATCAGAGCAAGAGCTGCTAGAGCAGAGCGAGTGAGGGCTCAGAGTGGGGTGAGGCTAAGTCTTACAAAGATCACTTTTAGGCACTTTGAGGATTTAAACATTTAAAAAAGTTTATGTTGTGAAAATAGAAAAGAATCCACACAAAATTTGACCTTTGTGAAAGTTGTGGATGCCCTGTTAGAACACAGGCAGTTTTAATTCCCAAAAAATGCATTGTGCTCTATGGTTGAATTGTTTCTGGGCCAATTTTATTTTAGATCCATGTCTGGAATACGGCTAGCACGTTAGCTCCATTTAATGTCCATTTATATTTATAGTCTATGGTTAAAGTACAGATTTGTAATTTTTTTAAAAAGCACATTATAAGCGTACTCCTGGTGGTCACAGTTGTTCTGGGGTAGACAGAAATGTGGCTGCCTATCTGCACCATCAGCCCCTTAAACCATCACCAATCACTGCACACACAGCACATTCACACTAGGCAAGATGGGTGAAGTGCGTTGCCTAAGAGTACAACTCTGCATAGCTTCAGAGATCAGATGAGATCAGGCTTTCTCTGTGTGCTGTAAGGCTGTAAGAGCAGCTGTTAAAACTCTGAATTATTACATGTTTTCTAAAGCTTTTGTATTTTTAAAGTAGAATTTATTTACAGTTTGTTTTGTTTTAAGCGAACACAGATTAGTTTTTGATTTCCAGTTTATACGTGAAAAGCTCTAAGTGCTTTTTACTGCGGGGCATTTGATGAGGAGAAAGTCTGTTCCTGTTTTACACCCACGACAAAAGGGGGACTTGATTTGATTAAGATGTGCCAGTGTCTGCGTCGCCATGGCGAAGTGAGGTCTCAAAGTGGCCCTCCAGGATCTCCTGATTTGAAGACTCTTAACAAAACACCAAACAGAATCGCAATACCTCCTCCATCACTTCAAATGTACAAGTAACCAGAGGAGAAAGCTTTGTTATTTATGTCCCTTTGCTCGCATTTGTGGAAAAAGTCCTGTTTTTCACTCATGAATATGTTTATGCACTGCAAAAAGGAGCGACATTCACTTGAATTTGAAACTCTGGACTAGTTCCTAGTTATTTTAGGAAAATATTTTAATAAAAAAAGACACAAATACTGAAAGAGTCCACTCAAATGAATACTTTTACAATCAGCTTCTTAGGTTTTTCATGGCCAGATGATCAACAATTGTTTGACCTAAAACCATCACAGCAGAAGTAGTGGCACGGTGGCTGAGTGGCTAACACTCATGCCTCACAGCAAGAAAGTTCTGGGTTCAATCCCCGTGTCTGGATGGGTTTCCTCAGGAACATGCTACATAGGTCTCCATGAACAGTTGATAGTTAAGGTCAGTTAAATACAATCAGTTCAATCATTGTGTCCTTAGGCAAGGCACTTCACCCACATTGCCTAGTATGAAAGTGGTGTGTGTGTGAGTGATGGTGGTCGGAGAGACCGATGGCGCCGATTGGCATGGCAGCCGAGCTTCTGTCAGTCTGCCCCAGGGCAGCTGTGGCTACAATAGTAGCTTACCATCATCAGGTATAGAGTGACTGAATAATGCTCTGTAAAGCATCTTTGTGACAAAAAATGTCTGTGAAAAGTGCTATATAAATGAAGACTTACTTACTAGTAATAGTAGCAGTAGTAGCAGTGCTACTGCTACTAGTAGTAATAGTAGTGGTAGCAGCAGTAAGTGCAGTGTATGGTCTTATTTGATTCTTAACAAAACACCAACAGAGTAGAAATCCTTGCTCCGTCTCTTCAAATATAAAACTAAAGCAGAGGAGAGAGCTTTGTTGTTTATGTCAGTTTGCTCTTATTTGTGGAAAAAAATCCTATTCTGAAGCTTCAGCAGTCACATTATTACTTTCATGTTTTGTCTTTAGTTGTAGTGTCTGCCAGTAAGAGTTTTTACGCTGGAAAAGGAGCTAAACTGACTTTAATATAGAAGTTTTGACAAGTTTCTGCTTATTTTAGAAGATAATTAAACCAGCCACAGCTACAGCAGTAGTAGAAGCAATAGAGGTAGCAGTTGTTGTAATAGTAGTAATAATAGTAGCAGTAACAGTACCAGTAGTATTAGTAGTAGTAGTAGTAGTAGTAGTGGTAGTAGTAATAGTAGTAGAAGTAGTAGTAGTAGTAGTAGTAATAGTAGTAGTGGTAGTAGTAGTAGTAGTAGTAGTAGTAGTAGTAGTAGTAGTAGCAGCAGTACATGACCAGCTGCAGGTCTTTCATAGACACAGGGGGCTCTCTCAAGAGTCAGGAGGAGCAGTAGTATTAATAACAGTAATAATAATGGTAGTAGTCGTTGTAACAGTGGTAGTGGTAGGAGTAGTAGTAGTAGTAGTAGTAGTAGTAGTAGTAGTAGTAGTAGTAGTAGTAACACATTTACCTGACTGTCTGCAGGTCTTTCATAGACACAGGGAGCTCGCTTGGAGTCAGGAGAAGTAGTAGTAGTATTAGTAAGAGTAACAGTAATAGTAGTAGTTTTAGTAACAGTAGTAGTAGTAGTAGTAGTAGTAGTAGTAGTAGTAGTACAGTAGTAGTAGTAGAGGTAGAAGTAGTATGTGTATTAAACTGATCGACTGCAGGTCGTTCATAGACACAAGGAGCTCTCTCAGAGTCAGGAGTAGTAGTAGTATTTGTAACAGTAATAATAATAGTAGTAACTTGTTGTAACAGTAGTAATGCTAGTAGTAGTAGTAGTAGTAGTAGTAGTAGTAATATGTGTATTAAACTGACCGGCTGCAGGTCGTTCATAGATACAGGGAGTTCTCTCAGACTCAGGAGGAGTAGTAGTATTTGTAAAAGTAATAATAATAGTAGTACTTGTTGTAACAGTAGTAATGCTAGTAGTAGTAGTAGTGGTGGTAGTAGTAGTACTAGTAGTAGTAGTAGTAGTAGTAGTAGTAGTATGTGTACTGACCGGCTGCAGGTCGTTCATAGATACAGGGAGTTCTCTCAGACTCAGGAGGAGTAGTAGTATTTGTAAAAGTAATAATAATAGTAGTACTTGTTGTAACAGTAGTAATGCTAGTAGTAGTAGTAGTAGTAGTAGTAGTAGTAGTAGTAGTAGTAGTAGTAGTATGTGTATTAAACTGACCGGCTGCAGGTCGTTCATAGATACAGGGAGTTCTCTCAGACTCAGGAGGAGTAGTAGTATTTGTAAAAGTAATAATAATAGTAGTACTTGTTGTAACAGTAGTAATGCTAGTAGTAGTAGTAGTGTAGTAGTAGTAGTAGTAGTAGTAGTAGTAGTAGTAGTAGTATGTGTATTAAACTGACCGGCTGCAGGTCGTTCATAGATACAGGGAGTTCTCTCAGACTCAGGAGGAGTAGTAGTATTTGTAAAAGTAATAATAATAGTAGTACTGTTGTAACAGTAGTAATGCTAGTAGTAGTAGTAGTAGTAGTGTAGTAGTAGTAGTACTAGTAGTAGTAGTAGTAGTAGTAGTAGTAGTACGTGTATTAAACTGACCGGCTGCAGGTCGTTCATAGATACAGGGAGTTCTCTCAGACTCAGGAGGAGTAGTAGTATTTGTAAAAGTAATAATAATAGTAGTACTTGTTGTAACAGTAGTAATGCTAGTAGTAGTAGTAGTGGTAGTAGTAGTACTAGTAGTAGTAGTAGTAGTAGTAGTAGTAGTACGTGTATTAAACTGACCGGCTGCAGGTCGTTCATAGATACAGGGAGTTCTCTCAGAGTCAGGAGCAGGTCCAGTTGAACACTCAGGTACGGGATGTTACACATCTGCAACACACAGAGGCAAGGAGACTTTATTTGTATAGCACGATTCACACACAAAGTAATTCAGTGCTTTACAACGATCATAAAATTAACATTGAATGAGAAAAGTGAAGAATAAAAAAACCTTTCAGTTATATGCAGCTAAACAGAACTGTTTAGTGAGCCTGGATTTAAACATCGTAAGTAGAGAGTAAGTAGAGTAAGTAGAGTCTGTCTCACATGTTCAGGAAGACTGTTCTAGGTTGTAGCCACATGAATCTGAAACTCTCACTCCCCGTGTTTAGTCCTGACTCTGGGCACCAGCAGGAGGCCGCTCATATGGGACTAACATGTCACAGATGTACTTTGGTGCTCAGCCATGGAGAGACTTGTACAAGCAGAGCTGCTTTAAAGTCTCACAGGTAGACCTGAGTACAAGACGCATGTGCTCGTACTTCCTAGTTCAAGTCAGGACCCGAGCTGCAGCGTTCTGGATGTTCTGCAACGTCTCACAGCTCATTTGGAGAGTACTCTAACCTACTGGAGATAAACCCATGGATAAGTCTCTCCAAGTGTGCTTTAGACAGTACACCTGTGATTTTTGTTATTTTAAATGCTAAAAAGTTGCAGATGTTATTGAGTTGATGTGGCTGTTCAAGTTCAAGTCTGACTCCATTATTAGCACTAGATTTCTAGCATGAGAGAGAGAGAGACTGGAGGTGACTGCTGACTCTTTCTCAGAGAAAAACAAGGTGAAGATTCTACATCACTCTTCGTGGTCAGCAGCACATTTTTATACTGTTGACTGGTACACTACCAACCATACATACTTGTACACGAGGGTAATGTGGTAAAGCAAATCATCGTTTTTTTTTTCCTCATATTGGTTAACTGCAGATTCACATACTTGTAAGCGGTTCATTCAAAGTGAATTAGTATAAAATGAAGTTAGTTAGTTTGAACTAACAAGATACTAATGAGCAGAAATAAAAACTCTATTAAAAGCAAAGTGAATAAAGTCTATAGTAGGACTTAACCGGGATCAAACCAGGATGCGCGTGGAGTCTCTGTGCAGACAGTAAAACGATTGTCTGAAGCTGCCGACCTTTCACTGAACGCTAACCTTCAATAAATCACTGTAAGTCTCTCCAATCACGCTCCGGGGCTTTTCACACTGCCTATGTCCATGTACACCAAACATCTGCCCGTTATCTGATTTCTGCAGTTATAGATCGTGTAAACAGTTGCATCTGTGTGAGTAATCTGATTTCCTTCTCAGCGTTCACACTTCTGCAGAGAAATTATGCAAAAAAGGTAAAAAGTAACCAAAAATGAAAAAGAAAATGTTAAAGATTGAAAGAGTTATTTTGAAATTCCTTGTACTTTGTCTTTCAAATAAAAATCCACTGATTAAAAGATCTAAATTACACTATTTTCAAATCTTATATTGTTGTTTCCTCATCACAATCAGATGTGTATTTTGTTTCATTCACACAAACCCTGCATATTTAGTTTTTCTCTCAATCAGAAAACACTGTTCCACCTTGTGATGTCATGTGGAAGTGCTCCATTGTGTTTTTAAACTCCATACACCTTAACTAGAATCATTTGGATCATTTCAGCCCTGGACAGAGCTGGGAAGTAACTGGATCCATGTACCAATAATATGTCTTCTTAATAATAATTTTAAGGAACTGTATTCTAGTATTTGTTGGTATTCAGAATACAGTTACTTTTCTACAATCGGAGGACTACATTGTGGTATGGGATCTCACAATTTAGTCTTCAAACTGCATAGAATTAGTGAGAAAAATGAAAACAGAGGTCTCCTGGTGTGTGCAAGTGCGATTTTTCCTTCTCAAATGAGTGACAGGAAATGCATAACAGTGAAACAAACATAAAGTTGTTTTTAATCATATGTTGAATTTTTACACTATAAGTTAAATGTGACTCAATTTAAAAGTATTCTGAATACAGCACTCTGATTGGACCATGTATCAGAATACATTACAAAATACATTCTAATGTGGATGTTTTCTAACTAAATACATTTTTAAAGTACCATATTTTCCGCACTATAGGGCGCTCTGGATTATAAGACGCACTGTCATAGAATGGTCTATTTTTGAACTTTAAAAAAACGACTTTAAACGAAATACAACAGTTAGATGGTCAGTGGGACTTAGTTTGGTGCGTTCACGGTGACTCTGGGCTTTGTTCAGTTGTGGCGTGTAGGGAGGGTGCTGTCTGGGACCACTGGATTGTCGGCGTGTTCGCAGTGACTCAGTTGTTCAGTTGTGGCCAGAAGTGGCACATTGCACTCGCTTTTTCGGTTCGTTCCTCCGTTCTATTCCTCGTCGGCGTGGAGTGATGAGTGTGGCTGTGGGTGTTTTTCGCTGCGTGGTCATTGTCTGCTCCGTGCCTGTTTGCATGAGCTGCGGATTCGTGTATAGGGCGCTCTGGATTGCCCAATAGCCCAGAAAATACGGTATTCTCCTATCACCGACCCTGGAATTGCCAAACTCTACTGAACAAAAGGTAAAATGTAGCTCCTTGACATCACAAGGTGGAACAGAGCATTTTGAGCTTTGGAGATGTAGACAGACTAATAATAAAGCATTACTCAAACATGTGTGAATGAAAAAAAACACAACTCCAAATCTGTTTTTGAGGAGGTAACAGTTTTAGAACAGGACTTACAGAGCACAAGAGTCAATTTTGTGTAATACAGGACCTAAAAATTGAAAGAGTTATTTTAAAATCCATTGTACATTGTCTTCCGAATACAGTTACTTTAAAATCCATTGATTAAAGGCCCCATGTGTACCAGGTGACATCACAACTACATGTTTATAATATGAATATTTGAAACAAGGGGCTCTGTTGTTGTCTCTTGTTAATGTAAAATTGTGTCTGGTCTTATATAAAGTTCATGGGCCTAGTCAAAAATATAAATTAGAAGGCCCGACAATTATGGATTTTACTTTTTAGTTTTTGAAAATTCATTAGAAAATTATGTCATCATATCAGATGGTTTGCCTGGAATGTTCCACAGTATGGCATTAGAATGACCCTTTTTGCATGCATTCAGTTACAGGTGTTTTTACTACTCGCAAATACACTGAAAATCTTGCTTTCTTACTATGAGCCGGGTCGTCTTTCCACAGATCTGACTTGGCTAATTTACCTTCTTGTCTCCTAGTGCTAAATCCTTTATTACACAAAACGGACTCTTTTGATCTTTGAGTCATGTAAGAATGTTGTTATCTCATCAAAAACAGACCTGGACTTGTGTTTTGTTTCATTCACACGTTTGAGCAGCTCTTTATTATTAGTCTGTCTACATCCGCAAAGCTCAAAATGCTCTGTTCCACCTTGTGATGTCACGAAGAGGTGTTTTTAATTCAAAGAGCTATTAAACACCCACCTGAAGCTTTACTCCGCCCCAAGCAGAATCTGAGGGGTGGTGCCCGGTGGGTTAGGGGAGTGGGTGTGGGGTGGGCTCTAGAGCGATGATTGACAGCCGACTGATAGCCACAACTTCCAACATGGCGTGGACCGGTGAGCTCTGGACTTAGAAAAAGAGCGGACATTTGTGCTTGGATCATGCCATTTCCCTTTTCTCCAGACACGGCGGGACATCGCGGTGCCCGGCGGTGCCAGGTAGGGGTGGGGCTGAGAGGGGCTCCTCAGTTGCCGCCCGTCAGTCTCTGTGCTCGTCACGTAATAACCTGCATCTGACTCACTGGCAGTCGTTAATCCAACCCAAAAATTTCAATGTACTGGCCGTAGTTGATCCTAAAGAGGCTGCTGCAGACACGACCTTTGACCCAGAAGTCCGATTTTAATCAAATACGCATTAAAATAAGACTAGGGATAGGTATACATTTCTATTTTACACAGCTAATCATTAGAAAAATGTGATTTTGGTGTTTAGTGGCCTTTTAACAGCTCCTTTTCACTTTTAGTTCAGTAGAAATGTCAATTCCAGAGCTGAAATTATCAAATGATTCTAGTGAAGGTGTGAGGAGTTTAAAAACACAAGCACTTCCTGTATTACCGCATGACATCACAAGGTGGAACAGAGCATTTTCAGTGTGAGAAAAGAACTCAGGCTAAATATGCAGGGTTTGTGTGTCAAACATGTGTGAATGAAACAAAACACATCTCCAGGTTTTTGATGATGAAACAACAGATCAGAAAATATCATATATGGACCTTTAAGGACATACTGTTGAACATTTCAAAGCAATAACATCCTCATAGAGACTGCGATAAGAAAAGTTACATAATCTACCTTTAATATATGGGATATTTATATGTTAATCTGTTTTTTGTCTAGACCAAGTCTCCTTTTTGCTCGTCTGATTTCTGAACACATTTTTGAATTTCTAATGAAGGCTTAGCAGATCGCGCCGATGCTACGCCAAGCTAACAGCACTAATTTGATTCCTTTCAGGCTAAAATTGTGTAACATTAGTCACTGGGTTTAACATAATTACATTCTCAGGTGTTGACTGCCTTTTCTGTGCAAAGCTAATGAGAATTCACTGTGTTGCTTCAAATGGGGAAAAACGTTAATCTGCTGCTTTTTTTTTTTTTTCAATGTTTATCCTATGAATTTGTGTACACACATATTTCAAATGAATTATAAAACATATTTGATAGTACTTTCAAACAGGGTCCGGCACATACCAGGTACTTATAGCAGTAGTTAGTAGTTATTAGGCTGATAATTACAGTTTTAGTTACTGAGGTACTTACAGTGGTACTTAGGATGGTACTTACAGAAGTACTTAGAGTGGTAAGTAAGGTACTCACCAGTACTTTGGCTGGTAATTATCCTGATACTTACTGGTACACACAGTATAACTAATAGCAGTACTTATAGGGCAAGAAGTGATAGTTGGACTAACAGTGGTAGTAGTAGTGGGTACTACTTGATTTATTTAGTACAACTTATAGCAGGATTTAGTGGCATTTAGAGTGGTACAAGTAGTGGTAATTAGACTAATAGTAAGTGG